AGCAGCCAGAATATCATTTGAGTAGCAAATGACAGCTAACCTAATTCTTTTTCCATTCAGAAATTTTGTTGAGATTGCCATTTCACAATTCTAATAATTCATCTACTATCAGAGAAAGGTAGTGATTTATCTGATGTAATTTTACCTCTTTAGAACCTGGTAGTAGTCCAAGTATCAATATATTTTCCTTTTTAAATCGAACTTCATGTGGAAGGTTACATATAACACCATATATGACGCTATAACTATATGCTGATGAATCGAATAGTTGAAACAATCGAGATTTATCATAATTCCTAAATAGGAATCAGCAGTTTCTAATGTAAAAAATCGCGAAGAATCAGGTGTGTCAATTTGTAATAGGAAAGTTTTCCAAATTTCTCCGTCATAAATATCAGTTATCAGTTCAATATCATCCTGATTGATCCATTTTTCAAAAGTGATTCAAATCCTGATTGCTGATACATTGTAATTAATTGAGCCTTCAAAGATGGTAAGGGAAAAATCATCTTTATTTTTCTAATGTAACCTTTAACTATTGATATTTATTTTGTTATTTCTGTTCCACAAGGACTCCTCTGGCCTTTTCTCGGATGATTTGGAAATTCCACATAGGTGCATTTAAACCCATTATTTGACTGATCGTTCACATTTTTTTGTAAAATTTCTGAAATTTTATATAATGTATTGCAATCTAGACATACTGCATATATCTTTGCTTGTTTATTAATTCCTATCATTTTTTTTGCCATATAAGAACTTGTAGGAAAGTCTTTAAAGCGTGACTGATCAACATCTAATAAAACTATATTAAAAAACTTAATAAGTGAATCAATAGCAACGTCAGAAAGATAAAATCTTGCTTGAAACTTGAATATCCATAACAATATCCACAGATCATTAAAGTTAACATTCATGCCAGGATTAGGGATGAGTTAGTCTGGTCTGGTCCATTCGCAGTCCTAAAGACCGGTTCTTAAAGTTGTTATTGAACCAGACCGGTTTATAAAATCGGTTTATTAATCAGTCTAGAAATTTACAAGACCGGTCTTAATAATTTATTAACTCAAACCTATATCTAGCATGGCATATACAATATAATTTTTAGTATTATATCTGATCCTAATATTTATCCTATAAATAATTAGTATAAGGAAAGTATACAGAAATAATACGTTTAAAAAATGTATAAAAAATATAGACAAACAGTATAATAAATTTGTAAATATTTTCGTATACAAGATAATAAAAATTGACTTTTTCCGTATGCAAAAACATACGGAATTTATACATCTAATCAGTATATTGTATACGTTATTTTTAATTAGTATTTTCATATATTAGATACTGAAAATCGACTTTTTCCATATGCAAAAAAACACAGAATTTATGTTTAATCAGTATATTGTATACAGAATTTTACATATATTTTTTACGTCTAATTAGTATATTGTATATGTTATTTTTGGGTGGATTTTTTACGTCTAATCAGTATATTGTATACGGTATTTT